CCGCATCGGGGGATTGCGGCCCCCCCCCAGCCCCCAGCCGCTGCCGGCGGGGTGCCCTGGCCCCAGAAGCCACCCTTGGCACTCCAGCATCAGCAGGGGCTGCACCCCCACACCCTCGCCAGGTCCACTTTCAGGTAGGGCTGACTCCGCCTCCAGTGGCAGGTGATCACGTGATCCAGGTGCCACCAGTCAGAATCCACCCCCCTGGCCTCGGTGATTGGTTCAGAGATGGACATGTGACCTCCGGCAGGCCAATGAGAAACCTCCCCAACCCTTTCGTTAGAACTTAGGGGCCAGCAGGTGGCAGTGGTTAAGGCCCTGGACTCTAGATGGCTGGCCATGGTTCCGGTCCTGGACTTGGTGACTTGCTTTCTCACTTACCCTCTCTCTCTAGTGAGCACATGTTTCCTATAGCAAATTTGAAAATAATAATAATAAATTAAATTAAATAATTATTTTTTTACAAAAACAGAAGGAGGAAGGGAGAAAGATTACAGAATTCTAGACGGTGTCGCTGGAATGCCTGCTCCACTCTGCCGCAGGATGGTCGCAGTTGGGAGACGCTGGTGTTCCCTTTGGTTTATTCCATGAGAGATTAGACAGAGACGGGAACCCCTCCAGGGCCTTCTCTCCACTGCCCCAGTCCCAGCCAGCTCGGGTCACAGCACGTGCACCCACACCCACCCACGGGGAGGCCCTCGCAGGTCCAGCACTGCGGGGCGCCTCGTGCCGCTGTGCCTCCAGCTGGGCCGGGCTGCGTGGTCTCTCAGTCCTCGTGTGCACAGCCAGGCTCTGCACCTGCAGGGCCATGTGACCCAGACCTGGCCAATCACGCGTTCTCTCATCGCCAGGGTTTGACTCGGCTGAGTCACATGGTCCAAACTGTCCAATATGGTTCGACACGGAAGCTCAGGTTGCAGCTGCCCAGAAAAACAATCTTTCTCCCCGTCGGCATCGTGAAGACATCAACTGTCCACTCCACCATCAGGAGCGGAGGATCCAACCGAGAAGGTCACCAACGCAGACAGAGCTGAGGCGGGTCAAGAATAATGATGTCATTGGGACCCTGGCCCAGCCACACCTGAAGCTAGTCCTAACTCTGGAATTTTAAAATGGCAGGTTACGGGCTGGCAGGTGGTGTGGTGGTCAAGGGCGCTGGACTCCCACGGAGTCGACCCCGGTTCGAGTCCTGGACTGGTGGCTTGCTTTCTCTCTCTCTCGTCAAATTAAAATACATAAAGTTTAAATAAAATAATTCTAAAAAAAAAGGGCAGGTCAGTAAGACCCTTTTTTGCTTAAACCAGTTTGCGTCGAGGTTTCTGTTACTGGCAGCCAACAAACTCCTAAGAGGACTGATGATGAGCCGGACGGAAGAAACGCAGGCTGAAACCGTGAGACGGTGCCCGCAGACCAGGCGAGCCGGAGCAGTGAGGCCGGCACGCGCGGGGCCTGCGAGATGAAAACTGGGCCGGCACGTGGACCACTCGACGTCCACCCCTTCTCACCGGAAAACCCAGCTTGCCGGGATTTTGCTGTCTGAGCCAGGGACAGAGAAGAGGAGGGGAAGGCCAGGGAGCAAGTCCCAGGTTGGAGCAGCCGGGAACTGTTTCAGAGTGCAGCGAACTGCCCGGCGGCGGACTCCCCGGGAGTCATCTGACATTGCTAGCCCGCGGTCTGCCGCGGGGCTGGGAGTGCTCTCCGCCGTGAGAGACCGCGACGGCAGAGCGGGCCTTCGCTGGTTTACCAGTCTGGGAAGTCCGGGGACAGAATGGCAGGAGGCTTCCAGTAGTTTGCACTAATGTAAAAGCCACGCTTGTCTCGGGGGACAGGCTCGAGGCCGGCACAGCCAGGCTAGGCTTCCGGGGCTCGTCGGACAGGCTCCTGGGGTCTCGCTGTGTCTCCGACACCCCCTGCTCCATGCCAGAACCGGCCCCAGACTCTGCATGGAGGTGCTCGGGGTAACAGTGTGTGTGGGGGGGGTAAGCCAGCGTGTCCACGCCTGCCCCCCAGGCCCTCCCAGGCCCTCCCCAGCTGCCCCTGCCAGGCCCGCGAAGCATCCCTTGTGCAGTCCCTGTCCATGCACACTGCGAGTCACTGCTGCAGTCACCCTCCCCAGCCCTGCCCGCCTGCCTCCCCTCCCTGCCCACATTCTCCGGGCCAGTTCATTCCCTCCCCACGACTGAGGGAAGGGTGTTGCTCACAGCCAGACACGGGGCCACTTGCCTCAGCGTGGCAGGCATCAGGCCGGTGCTCGGAGCTGGGACAAGGAGTGAGCCAACCCGGGCCTGTCCCCAGGGGCCCAGGCTGCAGGGAGGGGGCCAGCACCACGGCTTAGCCCACAGCGTGAGTGGGCAGCTGCAGCTCGGGGCTCAGAGCACCTGCCCTGGCAAGTGGGCGGCGTGGCTGGCCTGGACTGTGGGAAGAGGACTCCAGCCTGGACCAAGCCTCAGGGGCCGGGAGGGGAGGGCCGGAAGAGGGCCAGCTGCTCAGAGGCCAGCGAGCCTGGGAGATGGGACCCTGGCAGCCCCAGCGGCCGCTGACAGGGGGAGCTGACACCTGCTGGAGCTGCTAGCAGGAAGCGCGGGCTGAGGAGCAGGAGCAGGAGCGGGACATCGCGGACACCTGCGGGTCTGACAGTGGGAGCGGGCGGGCGGGCTCCAGGGAGATGTGTTCGCGTGGCCGTTGTCCCAGACCATCTGTCCCGCGTTAATGAAGTTGTCCGGCATGGTCTGCACAGGCGGCTGGGTCATCGTGGCCGAACTGAGGGCGCATGGATTAAGCCGCAACCGCTCCTCAGATACCGCCAATGCCCAGGACGGAGCCCTGCAGGGCCCAGTTGACCTGCACCCCGAGAGGAGGCCTGGGGAGGACAGGCCTGGTCCGGGACGTCAACACCGGGGTCCCTCCTGCTCCTCCCAGTGCAGGCTTCCACCTCCCCAAGGCCCTGGAGGGCTCTCCCTCAGACAGGGCCGAGGCGGTGAAGGATACGGGGGTAAGGGGCAAGCCAGCGGACGTTACAGATGGACCTTCCAAGCAGGCCCCGTGTAATCACAGGGGTCCCCAGTGTCAGGGAGATGTGGGTGAGGGGCTGACCAGCCGCTGCTGGCCAGACAGGAAGGGATCCCTCAGAGCCCCAGAAGGACCAGCCTGGCCGGCACCCGACTTTAGCCCCTGGAGACCCACGTGAGACTCCTGACGTCTAGAAGCTTCAAAACTTGGGCTGTCCCATGCCGTGGGGGGTCTGTCACAGCAGCCCCCACAAACAGAGGCAGGAGGGGAAGGTCCTGCCTTAGCACTCGGGCTTCTGTGCCCCGGTGCTGTCCAAAGAGGGTCCCAGGAAAGCCACTCTTCTGATGAAAAGGGACAGGCGCAGGAGGCGTGGGCTTTGTGCCTCTCAGGGGCTCTCTGTCACTTCCTCCTTCCAGCCTGGACAGTGGGTGGGAGGTCAGAGGTCGGCAGTACCCAGGGATAAGGTGTGACAGCCACACCCAAGGACCGCTGAGCTGGGGGGACTGAGATCGGAGGAGGAGGCCAGACGGCGGCCTCAGACTGCGGCCGGCTTCCAGACCTGGCTGAGCGCAGAGGAGAAGGACAGACAGCGGACTGCTTCCAGACCTGGCTGAGCTCAGAGGAGAGGGACAGACAGCAGCCTGCTTCCAGACCTGGCTGAGCTCAGAGGAGAGGGACAGACAGCAGCCTGCTTCCAGACCTGGCTGAGCTCAGAGGAGAGGGACAGACAGCAGCCTGCTTCCAGACCTGGCTGAGCTCGGAGGAGAAGGACAGACGGCGGCCTGCTTCCAGACCTGGCTGAGCTCGGAGGAGAGGGACAGACAGCGGCCTGCTTCCAGACCTGGCTGAGCTCGGAGGACCGGGGGAAAGACAGCAGCCTGCTTCCAGACCTGGCTGAGCTCGGAGGAGAGGGACAGACAGCGGTCTGCTTCCAGATCTGGCTGAGCTTGGAGGAGAGGGACAGACAGAGACCTGCTTCCAGACGGGCCGAGCCTGGCACTGTGACTTGTAAGCAGACACGATCCAAGTGACACCCAGCCCATCTTGAAGGAAGGGACTGTGGGGGACCCCAGGCAGGGGGCACCTGATGTGCCGGCTCCAGGCTGAGCAGTGCTCCTCGGCCTGTGGTCACAGGGACACTGCCACACACCAGGAGCCCAAGGTGCCCAACACCTGGACCAGGCGAGCCAGGGTGCAACTGGCAGGTGGCATGTTGGGACAACCCGCCTCACACCCGCAGACCTGTCACTGCCTTCAGAGAACACACACAAGCATGCCACACAGGTATAGGTGTGCACACACACGCATTTACTGCACGAGGTCCCTCATGGCACTTTCCCCATATTTTTATAATCCAGGAGTAAAAGGATTCGATCAAGTATTTCATTGTGCTCAGTTTAAAAAAGTACAAAAAATGAACATCAAGATTACCGATACAGGTTAATACGCATACCGAAAAGCACTCGAGCTGTCTGGCTGCCGAAACCCCGACCAGTCCCCGGGGGCCGGTCACACCCTTCTGTACAGATATTCAGAGTTCTCAGGTAGAAAGTGCAGTGAGCCCGAGCGGCTGTCCCCAGGACCAGTGGTGGCCGCACTCCGTGGGCGTGTGGCCTGGGGCAGGCTGGGGGCCCGAGAGGAAGGCAGGTGGACGTTCGGCACTCCAGACACCCCACACCAGACACTTCATTAACATTCCAAATATTGCAAAACCCGCGTGCTAGAGACCCGGTTAGACGGACGGACGCACGTCCTGCAGGACGCTCCGCTGCGGGAGGCGCTGCCCGGCCGGAGTGTGACACGGCTCCACAGGAACCGCACGGTCGGTGGCACAGGCGTGAGCGGTCGGCCGCAGGGGCCCGAGTCGGAGAGAAGCTGGGCCAGGTCTCAGTGGGGTCCCTTGCCACAGCGAAAGCTCAGCAGTGGATGGCTAGCCTGAGGGAGGGCAGGGGAGCGGGAGACAGATGGGGAGGGGAGGAGCAGCTTCGCGCCCTGCAGAGCCAAACGGAGCACCGGGCAGGGGCACTGAGGCAGGATGGCGCGGCTGCTGCCCCACACCTGTGCCCCTCCCACTGTACGTGCACAGGAGGGTGTGCACGGGGACAACCGCGACACTCCCTCCCGCTCCTGCAGCTCAGGACCCCGTTCCAGTGTGAGGGAGACCCGGGCGTCCCCAGACTGAGCCGTGTAACATGACGACCCTTTCCCACGCCCCGTGGCTCTCGGTGCAAACTCCCCGCACCCAGCTGTGGTGTTGTCGCTCCTCGGACTCGCGGCTCTCTGCGAACAACGGGCTGGAGTGTGCAGGCCAGCGGTCAGAAGTCCTGCAGCTCAGGGATGTCACGGTACAGATCCAGGGTCTCGGGGTTGGAGAACGCCCCGCGGTGCTCCACGGCTTTGCCAGCGATGATCTGCCTCACGGCCACTTCCACCTTCTTGCCGTTGAGCGTGTACTGCGAGGGAGGGGTGCAGGGAAAAACACACGTTATGCGTGGAGAACAAGCCTCCTCTCCAGACAGAAAGGCACAGATGATGGCCGTGACTACACACAGGCAGTGCCAAGGCCACCGAGGACGAAGTGGGCGGGAGGGCACCACAGCGCACAGGAGACTCGGCGAGGTGTCTGCCATCGGAGGGGGAGCGCGTGGAAGGGCTGTGTGCTCATGCCCCACACGGAGTGCAGGCTGGATGTGGAACCAGGGAGTGCGGGCGCAGAAGCTCTGGGGACCCGCTCCGGCCCTTGCTGCGCCAGCACCGCCATCAGCCCACTGTGGGGATGGGGGCTGAGGCTCGGGCTGCTAAGTAGTCGCTCCAGGGACCGCTCTGGGGACCCACATCTCTGCCAAGCTCTCTCCGGGATCCCACGGGTGCTCCCTGGGGCGTGGAGGAGCGCGGCCCCTCCCAGCAGAGCCGAGCACGAGCGGGCAAGGCTCAGTGTGCCCGGCACCGGCCCTGGGGTGGGGAGAGGTGCCGCCCCCAGCCTCCAGCGCAGGGTGCTGCCTCAGCAGGGCCCTGGAACTCTGCAGCCAGGACCTGGGTCGTCTCCCTCCTTCCCTGGGTGGGTCCAGGTCCACGCAGCAGGCTGGTGCACGCTGGGTCACCTGCTCCCTGGGCCCCCCCGCCTCGGGCAGCAGTCCCTGGGGTGAAGCCTCTCCTAAGCAGGGCTCTGAAAATACAAGGGCCCTCAAAAATATCAAGTGACCCTGGAAATGACCCCACGGGGCCTCAGGCGCGGAGAAGGCAGTACCCGGAGGGCAGAGCCGGGTGCCGAGGGGGCAGGAGATGGCAGGAGCGCCCACCCCACCACCTGCCCACTGTGCCTGCCGTCGGTGCAGGGTGGGACAGCCGTTCTGAGGCCCAGGGCACACGCCTGGTGCGGACCCCGACGCATGTAGGCTCAGGGGGAGACAGCGGTGGCAGGACGGGCCGTACCGGGATGCCCTTGGTCTCCAGGATGCGGCTGGGGACGTGCCGTGCAGACAGGCCGACACGGATGGCATTGCGGATCCTGGTCACCAAGCCGGGCTGGAAGGTGTGCCCGGACGCCATCTTCAGGAAGAGGACCACCCTCTCCTCCCCGTCCACGTTGCACTGGGGCACACACAGGCTGTCCAGCACCTCCTCAAAGGCTTCCACTGCGAGACGGGGGGACACGGTCACGCTCTGGCCTCCTGGGCCGGCCCAGGCCTCGGCCTGCAGCCCCTCAGGCCCACTGGCTGAACAGGAGGACCCCAGGCCTAAGGGTGTGGGGTGCGGGGGGGAGGAGCACGCATTCCCCAGGGAGCCTCAGGGACAGTATTTCTCAGGGGCCTTTGTTCATGAGAAACTAAGAATAAAAAGGAAGCAAGACCCCCGTGGGGGGCCACCCGGAATTAGATGGGTCCAGGCGTCCCCGGCTGTACCACAGCCTGGACATGACACTGGGCCCAGCCTCGGCGCTAAGTAGAGGCCACCATCCAGAGAGGCCGATTTCACGGCCTGGGGGGTGCAAAGCCATGCAGGGGGGCGGCCCACGGGTCTGCGCTGCCTCTGCTGGGCGACCTGCCGGTGCTGTGTGATTTTCTAGCCTCACAACCTCTCTGCGCTTCATTTCTTCTGCTGTCAAGAGACGGACACGGTCGGCCACCCCACTGAGCTCGCTGCGCGGTGAGCGCTGTGGGAGGGGTGGGCCGTGGGACCGTGAGGGCCCACCCTGAGGGCGTCGAGGCGGGTCCTGGGAAGGACGGCCCTTCTGGCACCAGAGTGGGTGGGCAGTCACGCAGGGCGGACTGTCAGGACCTGGGCCTGGGATTCTGGCTGGGCCTGCCCCGACCCGCCGTGGGCAGCCTACCGATGTTGTAGATCTCCGAGCTGCCGAAGCGCACTCCGTTGGGGTTGAGCGTGCCGTCGCTGGGGGGAGAGGAATGTGAGCACACGGTGCTACGGGCTGGGGCGCCCAGGGCCCGGGAGAGCACCCCTGCTGTGGCCCCCACGGCAGCCCACACAGAAGGCCCCTCCCCAGCTCCCGGCCCCCTGCCCGACCACCCCTTTCCGCCTCTACTCAGAGCTGGACGCCTCGCTGCCCACTGCCGGTCCCCTCACTGCCCCACCGCTGGGTCCCTCGCTGCCCCACGGCCCACCGACATGCTGCTGCACCTCTGTTGTGGGGGCTCCCACCCCTGCATCCCCACCCCTGCACCCACCCTACTACAGGGCTCGGAGGTGTGGGTCGGGACACAGGGACACCCCTCCAGAATGGCTCAGGAAGAGCCAGGTCAGGATGCAAGCCCAGCTGCAGGCTGGGCCGATGAGGGCCAGACGTATCCCCGGCGGGGTCTCCATCAGGGACAAGGACAAAGGCTCTGGAGTGGTGGTGGGGGCACCGGGAAGGGAAGAGGTGAAGAAAGGCAGGCGGGGACAGCCCAGGCCGGGT